TTTTTTCCCAAAATGCTGGGAGCTGGGGCCAGGCAGGGCTGGGAGAGGAGGTGGGGGATGGGGCCTGTGTGATTCGGAGATTCGGCTGATTCAGCAGCAGCCACATCTCTGGATCAGATTTGGCCGAATCAATTTGGGACAGCAATTCAAATCAACGAATTGAATCGCTGTCCCCCGAATCGGCCAAATCCAAATCCGAAGCAAATACTAGCCACTTTGCTCAGGCCTAATAATTATAGGATTGCTGACAGTATCAGGGCATTTCCTAGAGAAAATGTCCTTGAATAGTTACTTTGAAATTGTGTATTTTGATTAATCAATTCTTATCACTTTTCACATGGGAACTTTTTTCATCCAGAAAATCTTATGAAGGTAAAAATGTTGCTCTCATGAAGTGCTTTGTAAACTTTCTACGAAAGATTGAGCAACAATCATTCTGAAAGAAAGATACAGGTGTGAAGGGAGCTATTAGGACCCTTGTCTCCAGTGGGCTAGAAGGCTAACAGGAAATATTTGAAAATCACTGTGGTGTAAAAGTACTTGCAGTCTTAGAGTGGTAATTCTAGCCTGTGGTTGCTAGGGGGCAGTATTTACTAAATATTTAAAGTATCCTAGTTCAGTAAGTAAATTTGGCATCTTATTTTGAATTCATGTTTGTGAGGCAAGTACTTTAAATCAGGTATATACAACTCTTTTCCTTTATCTTCATTTTTCACTTTTCATCTCCTACACTGGAATAATGAAAAGAAATGGCGGAAGTGAACAATGCAATAATGCTTCTTATTTTCAATAAATCAGCTGAAGATGAGTAATTATATCCTGTTTAGACTTACTTAGGTCCGTTCCTGTTCTAGAAAACAACAAGGAAAACTTTTCCTTCAACTCCTATAATTTTCCTAATGCCTGCCTGATACTTTAATGTTATTTAATGTTTTTATACTGGCTTTTAATCAAGTTAAATAACTGTTTTGTAGCTAGCTCCATGTGTTGGAGATCATATTGTTTTTAACTATTTGCCATATTCTTCAGTTTATTTGCATTTTTCAGCATGCCGAATCATTTCAAATGTTTTTTCTTGTGTGTGTATTTTCAAAAAATACATCTACAAAATAGATGTAGATACCCATGCTTGCGCATGTGTGTATGATCATGTATAAAGTCTACTTTGCTTAATAGTGTATTTAAAAAAATCAAACCATAGGCAGATCAGAACTTCTAAGATTATTTACAAACTAGTTTCCCTCTGAAAATTACCTCGGCAAAGAAGGAATCTCAAAGCAAAGAGAAAACTTTCTTCTCTGGTGAATGTGAAGCAGATCCTTTGAATGTGAGTAAATGGTTCCAAAAATGTCAATGCATAAACACTACCAAAGTTGTTACTAACAGTAGTGGGAACCATCAAGCTGTGTATTGAATACCTTACAAAATACACTTATGGATGTTTACTTGTATGGTTTTATCATGATAATAGTAATAAAGTTGTTTTTTATTATTGTTTTAACCAGAAGAAATTGAACCTTTTGGGTATAGCTGGTGTCCAGCTATTTAAAAAAATACTGACAAGTTCTGTCACCTCAACTTCTTCTGTTACTGTTACACAATCTGTCTAGCTAGCAGATATTTAAATGAGGATTAAATGTGTACTAAATAGAAAAACCACCATGAAAACAATATTAAGATTGCACATTGCTCACTACAAATAAGGACATGAAAAGTAAAAGTGTAACAGCAATATAAAACTGGGCCTTTTATGGCCTAAAATATAATATTAACTTTTAGTTTTAACAAAAAAAGAGCACCACAAACAGTAAACTACATTATGTATGCTGTGTAGATTAAGCTAAATTTAATACTAATCAGCTCCTGCATTCCTGACTTGGACTGACTTTCTATGCAACTCTAACTTTTTATGGTCATAAGGGTTTTTTGCCTTTTAATATTTATAAATATTTTGTTCTTAAAATTAAGAAGCCCTTACAGTGGCATAATGTCTTAGTTGGCATAGAGGATAAAATGTTTTTAAATTCTTTTAATATTTATAGTGACATAAGTGCTTACAGTTTGTTATTTGGAAGCCTTCCTAAGAATAAGGCAGAGAAAGTCCTTCAGCCAGTGCCGCATATGCATATTCTGGAAGAATTTTCCCAAGCTTTTGCTCTTGGTAGAAAAAAATACCCAGAACCTTGGGTACAAGCACTTGAATGCTTAAAGCCCCAAAGGGGAAGAGCTTATAGTGCTGACACTGCATCCTCAAGTGGGCCTTATGCACACATCTCGGCATGCTCTTCCAAATCCTTTCGTCTGCCTGGCAACAGATGGCAGCAGTGCATAGGGAAGCCCTGATTGGCTGCCCCAGACTGTCCATAGTCAACCTGTGTTTCCCTGCTGCAAAATGTGTGGATTGTGAAGGGGACATGTTTTGCTGCCTGCTAGAGCAGCAGAGTCCAGCAAGTGACACACTGTCTGCCTGGCAGTGGGAGGCGGGGATGCTGGACAACTATGTTCTCTTCTGAAAGAAACCACAGCATGGACCAGCATTCACCAACTCTCCTGGGAGTGGTTTAACTGGTTGTTCTCAGGTTATTTTTCTTCTGGGGCAGCCCCTTTTACTCTGGGAGAAAAAAACCCTGAACATTGAACACTTGTCGGTTCTTCTGGGAGAGCAACAGCTCTCCCAGGAAAAACTGAATAAGGCTGCTATAAGCAGTGTAGTTGCCTCATAGCAGCATAAGTGTCTAGCCAACCTCATCCTTTGGATGACCAACTCGTAACTTTCAGCTTACATGTGGAGGGTCTTAAAAAAACTGCTTGATAAATATTTTAAGGCCAAATTTCAGTTATTGCCACCAGAAAGTACATGCATTATAAAAGAGCATGTGGGGGGAGGGGAATGCCCAATTTTATTCTCATAAATGTAAATGCCCATACTTTCATAGATTTCATATACATTAGGGCTGGAAGGGACCTCGGAAGATCATCGGGTCCAGTCCCCTGCCCCAGGGGCAGGAGGTCAGCAGGGGGCATAGGATCCCAGCAAGATACACCTCCAATTTTTTCTTGAAGGTGTTCAAAGTAGGTGCTTGAACCACCTCCGGCAGCAGTCTATTCCAGAGCTTGGGGCTCAGACAGTAAAGAAGTTCTTCCTTATGTCCAGCCTGAAACGGGCATGAAGGAGTTTGTAACCATTTGACCTTGTCATCCCCTGGGATGCTCTGGTGAACAGATGTTCCCCCAGATCCTGGTGAGCACCCCTGCTAAACTTATAGGCAGCCACCAGATCACCCCTGAGCCTGCACTTTTCCAGGCTGAAGAGTCCCATGGCTCTCAGCCTCTCATCATAACGTCCTGACCTCTGATCATGCGTGTGGCTCTCCTCTGGTCTCAAGCTTCTCAACATCCTTTTTGAACTGTGAAGCCCAAAAATGGATGCAGTACTCCAGTTGCAGCCTCACCAGGGCCGAGTACAATGGGAGAATGACATCCTGAGATTTGCTTAAGAAGCATCTATGGATGCAAGCCAGTGTTTTGCTCAGTTTACTAGCTACAGCATCACATTGAAGGCTCATGTTCATCTTGTGGTCAGTCATGACCCCCAAGTCCCTTTCATCCATAGTGCTAGCCAGCGTAGCACTACTAAGCCTATACACATGCTGTGGGTTTTTCTTCCCAAGGTGGGGAACCTTTCACTTTTTGGTGTTAAACACCATCTGGTTCTCATCTGCCCATTTCCTGAGCCTGTCAGGGTCAGCCTGGATCACCCTCCTGTCCTCAGGTGTGGATGCTGTACCCCAGAGTTTGGTGTCGTTGGCAAACTTGGCCAGTCTGCTTCTGATACCCATGTCCACATCATTAATGAAGACGTTGAATAGTGTTGGCCCAAGGACAGAGCCTTGAGGGACCCCACTGGTCACAGGGCACCACGACAATTGGTTTCCATCAACCACTACCCTGTGGGTCTGACCACGGAGCCAATTCCCCAGTCAGCGGATCATGGTGAAGCCGAGGGTGCAGTTGGTCGGTTTTGCTAGGAGGTGACCAGATGGAAGGCTTTTTTGAAGTCAGAATCTACAACATCAATCTCTTCTCCCTTGTCCAGGTGATAGGTCATCTGGTCGTAAAAGGAAATAAGATTGGTCAAGCAAGACCTACCAGCAACAAACCCATGCTTGCTATCCCTCAAGATGCTGCCGTCAGCCAGTCTGTTAAGAATGGTCTCTTTGATAAACTTTTCTAAGACCTTCCCTGGTATATAGAAATCTTCATGTATAGGCTGATGGGCCTGTAGTTAGCCGGATCCACTTTCCTCCCTTTCTTGAAGATAGGCACCACATTGGCCTTCTTCCAGTCTTTGGGCACTTCACCAGAGCACCAGGAGTTTTCAAAGATCCGTGCCAGGGGCTGAGCTATGGTGCTTGCCAGCTTCTTTAGTACCCTGGGGTGTAAACTGTCAGGGCTGATTTGAAGGTGTCCAGCCTCTCAAGGTGTTCCTTCAGATGGTCAGCATTCATGGAGGGTTAAGGGACCACCCTCACCCAGGTGTTCCTGTCCTGTAATAGAGTGCAGAGTAACTATGAAATGACCCTGCATTATTTATTTATTTATACCTAATTTAAACACATCGAAGCAAAGACCTTGGCTGGGTATATTTGGACCTGAAAATGATATTATTAATTAATTATTGATAGCAGATCACCTTTCAGCAGCAAACTCCAGATTTGGATTTGGGGGTTTTTTTTTTCAAGCTATATTAAAACATTTGTTACTAAATTCATGCCATGTTAGGCATCTTTCGTGTAATAGAATGTCTGTGGCTCTTAACAAAATGTTTTTGTCCATTCTCTTGCAGCTGTATGCTATTCCTTGGTTTCTCACAATGTTTACACGTGAGTTGGGGGTTTTTTTTCCTAATTAAATATTAGCTATGTATTTGTATGTTTAACTTCTCTTGTTTTTCATGTACTGCACTCCTTCGTTTAAAAGGGAAAACTATGGAATCTCTGCTAGGCTGCTAGCTCATGTTCAGTCATGGTTGGCTGAAGTCCATGGAGACCTAAATCTACTTCTAGTGAAGACCAGTCATTTTGCTTCTATGCACACTAGTCTTTTTCAACCATAAGGGGAAAAAAATCTGTGTATAATTTAGATTACTTATACATGTCCCCGACATCCCTTACATGTCTTTTCAACTCCCTTTTTTGAACTTCTCCTTCTTAATTAGTCAGTTGAGTCTCTCTCAATTAGTAGGTCACTCCTGATCTGTAGCAGAATCATGGAGTTAGGTGGATTTCAGTCCTGAGCCACAGCAGTCCCATTCCATAGCTGTAGTATAAAGCTCTTTGTACTGATTCCGTGACAACTGGTGCTTCCCTATTCTCTGAAGTAGGTGCCACACTGAATTCAATTAGATTATTTTACACAAATTGTATTTACAGTGTATGAAAGAACAGCCCTAATCCAGGAAAAGAAGTCTTCATGTATAGTTTGTCACATTAAAAAAATAAAACAAAACAAAACCAACATTGTGAGGTGAGAGAGAGCAGCTTTGTATGGGTTGGCTTTAAAATCAAATATACCTTAATTGGTCTTACCTTAATTTACTATTACTCAGATGTATTCGATTGTTGACTGACTTTATATTATTTGTTGAACAATATTGTTTTTAACCTTCTTAAATTAAGAGATGATATTGTAACAAATTCAAGCATGTCACAACTTTTCCTTTAGCCCCTGGCAAAGTCATATTGTCTTATTTCATGATAGCGTTGGTGGTATTAAAAAAATCCAAAAAACCCCAAAACTCGCATTCTGATCTTCCCAGAAATATTTTAAGTCCTATATACTGGTGGAATATCAGAATTAAAGGTGAAATTCTTGTCTGGGGAACAAAATACTGGTTCTCACTGGTGTCCATTTAAATATTCGTAGTCAAATGAATTACATCATTTATGAGAGAATGGAAGAAGGATGTTTGAAATGATACTTCTGTAGCATAGTCCACAAAAGGAAAATGTTGAAGAACCACTTCATCAGAGCAAACATTTTTGTAGAAGGAATTGGACTTTGTTCTGTAGGCACAATTGTTTTTTTTCCATAGGCTGTTCTCCCCATTTCTTCTGTTCTATTACTTTACCTAATTGCAAGTAATTGATAAAATTATGTTAATGTATTAGTCGGGACAAAGCTGTCTTTAGTTTTTGTGAGCACAGATTGCTATTGATGTTATTTTCCTGAGAGAAAAAGTTTCGAATATATTAATGGAAGAAAACTCCCATTTCAGAATACTGTCAGCAGAGTAGTATCATACAAATTTGTGGTAGTAGTGTTGGGATTTTTATTATTATAATTCTTTTTTGCTTTTTCAGTTTCTGGTAACATTATATTATGTAATTGTAAGGGGGGAAAGTAGAAAATAGTCTTTTAAAGTGCATATTTAGTGGCAGAGGGTAAAAAAAATTAAAGGAAGAATTAAATACATAGAAATAAATATGTATATGAACACAAATGTATATCTAAACAAGTCTAATCCTGTTTGCTCCCAAATTAAAAAATAATATTCCTCGGGCAGCAATAACATCTGTAGGATGTTTATTTATATTTTCAAACTAGCAATGTTTATTTTAATTAATGTTGTTGCTTGTGCCATTTTTCAGATGTCTTTCCTTTGCACAAAATTTTTCACCTTTGGGATACCTTACTTCTTGGGAATTCTTCCTTTCCATTCTGCATTGGAGTGGCTATCCTACAGCAGCTGAGGGACCGGCTTCTGGCTAATGGGTTCAATGAATGCATTCTACTCTTTTCAGACTTGCCAGGTATAAAAATAATATTTTTTCCCACTTTTCTCGAAAGCAAGGTCCTATTAATTAGTCTCCAGTCCTTTTTTATGGACTTTTAGCCTGACTGAAGGCAAAAGAAATCTTCCCTTTTCAGCATCTTCAGCAGGGTTTGGGTGAGCTTATTATCTGTTCCATGTTTAGTTTGGAGAACTTGGTGGAGTTTAGAATATTTTCAAGTAAGTTAATGAGTGAAAGAAATTTAAACCATGCATGAACATACCAATTTGGAAGGAGTCCGGTGCAGAGCAACAAAAAATGATTAAGGGCCTGGGAGGCAAGACTTCTATATCAGGAAAGACTGAAAGAACTAGAGTCATTTAGACTGGAGAGGAGAAGACTAAGGTGGGATTTCATAACAGTCTTCAGGTATCTGAAGTGATTATAGAGAGGATGTAGATGAACTTTTCTCTTTGGCCATAGGTGACAGGAGTAGAAGCAAAATGGCTTCAAGGTGCAGCAGAAAAAAATTTAGGCTGGAGATGAGAAGGAACTTTCTGACCATGAGGGTGGTTAGGCATTTGGAACAGGCTACCTAGAGAATTTTTTGGAATATCCATCCTTAGAAGTTCTCAAGAACAGATTGGCCAAACACTTGGATGGAATGGTTTAGTTAAAGATGATCCTGCCTTGACCAGTCCTGCCTAGGCCAGATGACCCCATGAAGGCCCTTCCAGGCCTACTTTTATATGATCCTGTTCCACAAATAGTGGTACAGTTAATCAAAATATTTTTTTAATGAAGTGTTCACTTAGTTTTGCTTTGGATACTGTTACACTGGTTCTTCAATTACATGAAATAGTCTTCTCTTTTCCTAACATACTTTTTGCTGCAGAAGCAAAATTACAAAATGCCTATTAAAAGCCAATAAAAATAAATTTGTTAAAGCAATCTGCCCTTGAAATTACAAGATTTTGAAAACATTTGCATGCTAAGGTGCAGGAAGTTCCTTTACTGTTGGTGGGAAACTGTGTTCTACCCTCCTGTTCAGTGGGATATAACAAGCCTTCTGGACAGACAGTTCTTCCTAAAACATAAAAATCCAGCATTAAACTGGCTCTTATTTATGAGCAAAAACTTGTTCTAAGTGGAAACTAGAACACATTTCCTTCATTTTCTAGTTTTGCAAAATGGCACTCATAGGAGTGTTCAGTAAGTTACTGAAAATTCAATGTCTGCAGTGTTTATGAATATTTTTCCTAGTTCCATTCTTTTCATACTTCCTTCAGTATTTGTGCCATATTTTCACAAGTCTTCCTTTACTATTATCCTTCAACCTGCTTTCAAATATGCAGCTAGCATTGTATTTTCCAATTTACCAAATTATATAACTAATAGTATTACAATTTCCTTTGCATGCTTGCTTGTTTCCAGTGTCTGTCTTAAAGGATAGTCTCTGGAATTCTGAGAGGAGTCATTCACTATAAAGGTTTTTCTTTCCTGTTCTGCAGCTACTAGGTAAATAACTTAACTACAGCCAAGTTCATTAATTTTTAATTATTCCTTCTCAAAAGGCATTTCCCCTAATGTCTTTTCCTAAGTGATTCTAAATTGCACATGCCAATTAATCTTAAGCCAACTACTTTATTTTATGAGCATATGAGTACTGTACGTCATAGTGTGGTTGTGTTATGTATAAGAGTATGTTAGTTCCCATAGTACCACAGACCTGTAATGCTCATAAGTTTTTTATGATAGCTGTTTTAGAATTATCTAATATCATAAAGAATTTTGAAGATTAGTGTATACACAATGAAGTATTATCTAATTTGGTATTTTAACCTAACATTTAGTAGTAGGTATGATCTGTTTCCAGAAACTGTATTCACACACCACTTTCAAGATTTTGCTGATCTTAAAATAGAATGGTATAGGAAGAATGCTATCCACCACACAAGGAGCCAGATGTGTGCTAATTTTACATACTTCGAGGTGTGCTTTCCCTTAAATTCAATGAAATGTAGTTTCACCAGCCTAGAATACTGAATGCAAGTCTATATGAAAAACTGAGTGTACTTTTGATGGTTGAAAATGCTGTCTAGAATCGTAACAAGGATATACCTCCATTAACAAAAACTATTTTAGAAAATCCATCATGCTTTAAAAGTATCTGAGAAATATCAGAAGCCTGCTTCACCACTCTTTCTTGTGCACAGCCTTAAGCATAGGGGACTGGTAGGGAGGCACAGTTGGGGGGGCATGTTCCCCCCCTCCCCCCCGAGATTGGCCACCACTGGCTTCCACAGGCAGTCACCACTCACCAACCCCACCACATCTCACCGATGCCACCAGCTTCTGCAGGCAGTTGCTGCTTGCCACGCCACCACTGGCTTCTGTGATCAGTCGCTGCTCGCCACCACCCGCCATCACTGGCAGCTTCTGCAGGCGGTTGCCGCTCACCACCCTGCCACCTATGCTGCTGCCCACAAACTGTGCCCCCCTAGTCTCAGGAGGCATTAATCACCCATGGTCTTAAACCATGAAAAGGTATTCATTTCTAGGAGTAGAAATTTTCCACCACTAGAAATGTTTTCAGTAGAGGGAACAGTACAGGTGTTCAGCTTCAAACAACCCTCTCTCCCCTGATTCTTATGATCCTGGTCTGGGGAAAGCATAAGGAGCAGTGGCTGCTCCATCCCCTAGAGCAATGGGGCAAAGCTCCCCACCTATGCAGACTGGGGGCTCTGATATGAGGAGCAGGTGGGGGAGCAGCAAGTGTTCCCCCTCCCCTCCTGATTCATGGAGCAGCTGCCTCCATGCCTTTTCCAGACCACGGTGATCCTTGTTTGGGGGAGGAATGGGAGCTTTCCCCATCACTCAACTCCTCCTGATCCTCAAAAAGAATCACGCATTCTGGAAGTGTATAGGCATTTCTTCTCCCAGGAGCAACTGCTACCAGGCTGGAAACACGTAATTTTTAACCACCTTTTTTTTTTTTTTGTTCCAGAAGGAACTGTGTGGATGCCTGTGTGCTTGTGATTTCTACTGGGAGAACTGTGATTCTTCTGGTAGAAATGT